ATTCTGTCTATAATAATAAAAAAAGTATATGAAACAATTAGTTCTTTAGATATTGCAGGAGCTTGACAGTTCGTCATAACAAAATAACTACAAAAACGACATTTTTTACATGTACTTACAACAACCCATATCAAATAATGTTTGACATGACGTCGAATTCATTATTCAATATTATACAACAGACCAACTGTCAGATGAGTGTAAGCATATGTTAAATATTTCTTTTTTTTTCACCAGAAGTGAAAATGAAAAGATGCCTTATGGTATTTGTTTGGTTTCCTGACCTAAGTTGTGCTGATGAGTCTAGAATAGGGGAAACTACAGTTCACAGCAGAGAATACGACCAATCAAAGAGTGCAATAGGCCTCTACATCACAGATTATCTTTTGAATTTCACCTCTGGTGAAAAAGAAAAGAAATCTTTGACATATGTTTGAGATAAATGTTATCGTTATTATCTAATTTACTTATTTTCCATTAGAACAGCAAACCAAAAATACGCTCAAACTACAGTCTTTGGCCAAATTGTTTGCATACAGTTCTATATTGATGTTATTGTCTACATACATCGAGAAGTTATTGAGTAAATGCCCAAGTAGTAACAGAGAAGGTAGCGTATGATAAGACAAACATGTACGAGTTGTTATTCTGGTCTGTATAAGTTGTTTTACATAAAAGGGGTGAGCTTTTGGTATAATATTTTTTGAAACAGATCAACGCTTTGTTCAGACAATTTCTCTGTACTTGGTGTAGAGTCATGCCAAGTCACGTGCCAGAAGTTATAAGGCGTCAAACTGTTCGATTGTTCAGAAATGGTATGATGCAAATGGACATTGCCAGAACAGTAGGGTATCCCCAGTGTACTGTATCCAGAATCCTGAAATGTCATCGAACTATAGAAACATGGTTCCAGGAAAGTCAATTGGTAGACGCCGAAAAACTACTGACAGGGATAACCGTATTTTGATCAGGTTAACATGTCAAGGTCGAAAGAAGTATTGCAACCCCTTACAACAGGAATGGCAGGAACACGTTCATTCCAGAGTATCCAGAAGAACAGCGAATAGGAGACTGAACAAACAATGTTATTTTGCAAGAAAGGGCTATCTCCAGACCGATATTAACCAAATATTACCTACGTCACCATGCTACTTGGGCAAGACAGCATGCCAACTTACACTTAGGACACTGGTGACATGTCATTTTTCAGATGAGTCCTGTTTCCGGCTTGTTAAACCTGATGGTAGGATTCGTGTTCGTCCTTTGCCCGGAGAACAAATAAAGGAAGACTGTCTTTCTCACATGTTTGGGCAGCCATTCATCATGGTGAAAAACTGCTCTTCGTATCTTCCAGGAAATGTCAGTTGCGCCTCCTACAGGCATCACATGGAGACGTTATTTCTGCCATATGATAGGGTAAGGTTTGGTAATAACTTTGTGTCTCAGATGACAATTACACTGCCCACAGTGCGCGTATTGTACAGGATTATACCGACCAGGAGGACGTTACAAGATTGCCATGGCCAGCTAAGTCTACAGACTGTAATCCCATTGAGAACTATTGGGCAGAACTGAGCCAGAAAACTGCCAACCACGACACACTAAACCAGCTACTGTAGCTGAGTTGCAACAAGATGAGATGAAATCACGATGGATTATATCAATAACCTCATCGACAGCATACCATGTCTCTTTGTGGAAGTTATTAGAATACGAGGAAGACTAACCAAGTTCTGAAAGTTTAATATGAACTGATATAAGGCTACAGACGCTACTTATAATAATGATATGTTATATTTTGTCATTATATGTGTTTTGGTAGGGTTTTGTTGTGATAGGTGTAATGCTGAATTACACATCTTTCTACAAGTGTCTGATAAAATTGTTTACTGTTGTAATAAATCGTTCATAATGTTCATAGAACCTGTCTCATTATACAAAGCACATATGTGGATATTTAATATAACATGCATTTCTCAGTTTGACAGCGCTAACTGTATTTGTATTCTATAATAATATTTTATTTGTTACAAAATATACAAACATTTTGGCCAAGACTGTATATCCCATTTTTTATTCGTTTTCAAATAACAGTTAACATGACCTTTCACCATATTAACGGGCTTCAGTTTTAATAACGTAACTAGTTAGTTATTTTATCATAAAAATGATCCGCTTCTGCCATAATTTGGTTAAAGTGGCAGTAGGCGTAAGAGATCCGCTGCTACCGTTGTCTGGTAAAGTAGTATTAGATAGAACAGATCAGCTTCAACCTATTCTAGTAAAGCGGTAGTAGATAGAACATATACACTTCTACCATAGAGTTTTACAGAGATGGTAGATAAAACAGATCATCTTCTACTATAGTTAGGTAAAGTGGTCGTAGAAAACTTAATTAAAAAAAATGAATAAATAAATTCAAAACAGATGCTTAGTGACCACATAATTTAACCTTGTGTTACAAATACCTGAACTTAATCACGTGATACACGCCCTCGATAAAACACAGATAATCAGACTTAAATCCAACTGGTTTGAGCAGCTCACCCTTTGTTTTCAATCGCCACACCCTCTATCTTAAGGTTGCTTGGAAACTACCAAGATCGAAGACAATAAGAGGTCACAGTACTGATATCATACAAGGAAAAACAGCTGGGTTTATGACATGTTATCTAAAATATAATGAATATATAAACCTCCAAGTATTTCAGAAAGTACATATATTTTCCATGTATCCGTCAGCAGAATGTTTAAGTGTCCGGTTACCGAACCGTGTTCTAGTAGGACAATTGATTTTCTAGAACGCAATCGAGCGAACGGATATTTACAAGAATGCTACTTGTGGTTTTCTCTCCGGTCACCGGACTTTAGGACACACCCTTTTAAAATATCTTTTGTCAGAAATGACGTCAGTACATTCAACAGAACAGAACTACCCAAATAAGTTTTTTCTTAGTAGCAACTTAATATACGCATAGTTGCTTAGGAAATTATTTTCAAACTTTCTACAGAGATATCTGACCAGACCATCTAACCTACTTCAGAAAGCTTATGAAGAAGTAGTAACGGTGATAAAAATCTACTACATTGAAAAGTAACAGAAAATTATCATTTTTGGATGCAATTTGATAAATATTGATTAATTTACTACAAACAACCTTTTGAGCAGCAACAGATATATGAATATCAATATATACTTACCTTAGAGAGTAAGAAAAATAGCTTTTTTACGTGTTTAACTAAGTAAACATTGTTTTCTTATTCACACGTATGTGAATAATTTATCCTACTTTAGACTCACGCATAAAAAGCTTTCCATCACAGTCTATGACATCATAACAGAACCATCTATATCGGAAATTAGAAACATGTCGGGTGACATAATGGAAATCTAAGAACTGGTTAGAAACAAATAACATTTGCAGTTTAAAAACCATGACAATATTAATGTTCTCATACGAATGAGTAAACTTCACTCTTTGCGACTTCTCGGTAATTATCTTGAATATGTTATGAAAATCTATGTTGTATGAAAGTCGTGGAATAAAAAAAAATGTATTTACGCATGCCAATAACAATTAAAGGGGGAGGGGAAGAAAACCCTAACATTATGGACGAGTGGACTTCTCTTCCTCTGGGTCAAAGTTTGTTAAGATGTGATTTTTCATCCTTTCTGGCCATGTGGTTAGGGCGCTCGACTCACAATCAGCGGGTCGCGGATTCGAATCCCCATCACACAAAACATGCTCGCCCTTTCAGCCGTGGGGGCATTATAATGTGACGGTCAATTTCACTATTCGTTGGTAAAATAGTAGCCCAAGAGTTGGCGGTGGGTGGTGATGACTAGCTGCCTTCCCTCTAGTCTTACATTGCTAAATTAGGGACGGCTAACGCAGATAGCCCTCGTGTAGCTTTGTGCGAAATTCATAACAAACCAAACCTATTCATCCTTTCTGATCGTACAAAAAGTTTTTTCACCATCATAAGCATAATCGTATGAAGTAGTCGACAGCTCGTCCACTATATCTTGTTATCGACTCTTAACATTACTTTTACACAAATTAAATACGGTGAAAAAATTAGGAACTCCAAAAAATTACATGCTCAGGATTTCGGTCTATGAGAAAGAGGTACCATTAGACATAAATTATTACAAAAGTAAAGTAAGTGAAAGTTTCAATTAATAAATGGCCCGTCTCCGTAGATTAGAGGTAAGTATGATGGCTTATAACTCTAAAAATAGAGTTTCGATACCTGTGAAAAGTTAAAGTGTTTGAAGCTATACCCTAATAGGATTTCGTGATTTTCAACTTCAAATAAACCTTATATATGCAGACATTTCTCTTTTGAGTTAATTCACCAACCATCGCATCATACACATCTTACTTCCACATTAAATACCGCAAAAGGAAAAATAATACTTTTATTGTGTACAAATATTTAGACAATAGCTTCTTTTTTTTCATTAACAGAAAACTTTGATCTATGAAACATCTAAACTACTTACATATGTGTAATGACATAATACTTACATATGTGATGAGAGTCCGTGTCCTACACGATTCCTGTTATCATCAGCTTGCCCTACACCAAGTCCAAGCGATGACATTGACTGGCTGATGTTTCTTTGGTCTAAGTGAACAGATGACAGTGAACCGCTGAGTGTGTGTAACCCTTGTTCAGCAGTTAACCAATCAGTATTAGCATAATCCGGTTCTCCCTCATATCCTGAATCTTTAGTGAGATACCGCGCTGACCGATGGTGGCGTTGTGAATCAAGAGAACCAATTAGTTGATTAAAATTATTCACCACTGGCTCAACACCCACTAAGTTCGAAGCTGTTTGGTCTGACTTTTTATGAAGATGTTTCATTTCTCTATGGATGGGTATCCTGCTGTGGATATTTTCACATAGGGGACTTTCATAGTCGCTTAATGAACGAGCACGTGCATGTGAGGATTTGAATCTCCCCATCTCCTGTCCATTTTGGTTTTGTGGGTGATTACTGGCTCGAAGACCTTCTTCACTCTTTTCTCTCAACCCTCTTTTCGAGTTCCAACGACTTTGTACACTTCTGGAAGGGTCTGAATTTCCAATATCACACTGTGACCACGATCTGTTCAGAGCTGAATCCGATATTTTAACTCTGCTCGCAGACGTCTTATTTCTGAAGGATTGGCGAAACAGCGGAGGATTTTGACAGATATTTTTTTTCATAGAAATTCCATAACCAGAGAGCTCAGAAAGAGAAGACGTTCGGTCACTGTGAACCCTAAAATAAGATAGTAGATTAAAACAATATTAATGTTTCTTTTATACAAAAAAGAAGATCGCTCCTGAAAAATAAAAACCTCAATTTGTATTAAGCCCTATTTCACTGGTTAGATGAGTAATTGTATCTTACGAAGTCATTTGACTATCGAAGTTTTGTTCTTTGACATTTATTTATGGTTTTCAACAACTAGAGTCAAACAAATATTTTAAGTAATTTGATAGTAGTCCAAAAGAGATGGCCGTCATAAACAAACTATTGTATATTTTCGCGATGTTTGCTTTATAAAAACAATGTCAGACGTTTTAATTAACCTCTAATACATTTTTATCACTACATTCGCTATCTTCAGCTCTTAAAGCCAACAAAATTGGTAAAGTTCCACTATAAAATTAGTAAATGCATTTCATTGAACATTGGAAGCAAAAGCGTCCCACGTGGTTCAGCAGTAAGTTTGAGGGACTTACAGTGCTACAATTCGGGGTTTGATTCCCGTAGTCTACACAGCACAAATAATATCCCATTGTGCAATTTTGCACTGAAACAAACATTGTTTTGAATCAATAATAAAATACTAATAAAATTGTCAAGTCACTTTATCATTAGTGACATTTTTACATAGGTCATTAGCACTGAACATTGTAATATGTAATATACAGTCTTTTTGTTATTAAGACATCGATGCATGGAATATATAAAAAACCATGAATTAATTTAAAATTGTGTGCATGATGAATATAATTTAATTAAAAGTTAAATTAAATATGCAACAAATACCTTATACAAAGACAGATATATATATATATATATTCATTAATCTTGCACACTTGAATAAACAACAAATAACGAATCCGTCCAGATTTGTTTGTCAAAGTGTTATTTTTACATTAGTGTATAGCCAAGCCCATCAAAAATGATGGGGCAAATACTACCACATCCAACCCATAGTATACAATAACCTCATATTTCATGGATAACTGAAATAAATAAATTTTGCGAAACCAAGCTTGACCAACAAAGAAGCAGAAAAGTATAGTCGAGCCAGTTAAACGTCGGTAAATTCTGCTACAAACGGATCATTATTACCAAAAGTTAATGAGGAAATATTGTAGGAGTGTTTTTATTGAAAAAAGGCAACAGTTTAGCGGTAAGAACAAATACACGAGTTTACGTGGTACAAATAATTATCCTAGAGACAAAGATGAAAAGACAGATGCCGACAAGATATGACTGTAGGAGATCCAATTTGGTCTAAGATTTAAAGCAAAATTGCAAGTATGCTGTACTTGCAAAAAAAAGATTCTTTGCATTGTGCTCTACGTTTCTAAATTCTAATTTAAAACAATAGTTATAATTTTACTGAAATTTTATTCACCATCCATAATATTTTATACTGAAAATATTGATGAATCCAAGCATTGGTAATTCTGCACACTGGTATGTGCCAAGAACATGTGATCGAGCTTAAAAAGACAAAACTTACATCTAGATCTTAACATCGCAGTCTTTTATTTTATGATAAAGCCAATCAAAATGAGGACGCTACCTTGACAACGCTATCACCTGAAGATGCGCACATCAAGGCAGTGGTCACAAAATCGAATAGAATGGATAGTATAACCTGATAAACCATTTATTTACAGTGTATTTACAGAAATATCCACCTAAACACTTTTTTAACGAGTGGAATCATTTTCAAATTGCTTATTACACTCCTAAACAGCTATAAAAAGAAATCATAATTTAACATTAGAAAAACTTGATTGACTATTTTAATATCATTGACAAATCCATTTTCCTCTTTTTTTCAAATTTTGGAAGCGAAGCTTCAGAATATTGATAAAAAAAAGACTTTGTGTTAGAATTTTTGCGCAAAACTTCACCAGTGCTATTTGCGCAAATCTTTCCCAATTTCGAACTGATAAACTAGGTGAAAGATAGCAAGTCAACTGCGCCCACCGACAACTCTTGAGCTACTCTTTTTTGAGCAAATAGTGGGATTTGAACGTCAATCTTATAATACACTCATGGGCCCAAAGTACGAAGCGTATTTCTGGGGCAACGAGACGCGAACCATGTATCCTTAGATTAACAGTGCGATTACGCCAACTACTAAGTTACAGAATTTAACAAAAAACTCCACAAACGATTATCACGAAACTTTAAGAAACTCTGTGCTATCTGAAATATTTTGGAACAGCTATATACTTCTGCAATGTATAACGATAACCTTCATTAAATATAAACTGAATCATTACTGGTTGCATCTTCTTAAATCTGTTCTGTGCTTGATTTGAATTTCGCACAAAGCTACGCGAGGGCTATCTGCGCTAGCCGTCCCTAATTTAGCA